GCCCCTAGTAGCGTCCTTGCTCCTAGTAGCGATGCCAGGAGCCCCTAATAGCGTCCTTGCTCTTAGTAAGGCCAGGAACCCCTAATAGCATCCTTGCTACCATTCCAGAACCATATGATAACGTGATCTTGTCACAAACATGGCGGCAATCACGTGATGCAATCCTATTGAAGCACGGCCATCTTTTCGGCACGCTAGTGACCACCGTTGGATAGAATGTTCAAGTTGCGGATGTGTACCCCCTATGTGACATTTTGCGACTAGCAAAAGCATCCCTGAGTCAAAGCCCTGTTAGCTGCACTGCCTGTCAAAAGGGCGCACCTTGACTTGCTACTGTAGCGGAGTTCACGGCTTCGACCCCGTTCTCGTTCACTACTCCGTTGCTCTCGGATGAGCTCTTGAAGGTTGCCCATCGCCCTGAGGTGATTGAGCATGGGCCTGAGCGGCCAGGTAGCTGCTGGAAACGCCCAATTCTCATCTCTTGGGGTCCCGTGAAGTGAAATTCTGCACTACAGACTGTACTGAAAAATCTTTGATGCATTCCGCGGGGTTCAATGTCTCTTGTCCAATAATCATGTGATGTTTACATTTTTGTGTGTGCGGACAGTGGTGACAGGCGGTTTTCATGCAACTGCTTGCCCACACCAAACAACGAAACAAGTGCTTTGCACATGCTGAAGCATATGTTTCCCTCTTGGTGCGAGGCAGGATGGCCTGGGAAGGGTTTGCAGCCCCCTTGAGGAGCTTGTCCATCTGGGCCATATCCTGCGGGCAAGTAGACTAGATCCAACTGGCAATTTTTCGGAATATGTCTTGGAAGAATCGTGCGAGTCGAAACCAGATCAAAACCCCTGGCTTGCCAGCTGCTAGTTGCCGGTATAAGCAGCTTGATGAACATGGCAAAGTATTGGCAACTTCCAGGTTTCATAGTTTCTCCTCTATCTTCTCATCTCTGGGATGAACAACCTCCACAAACTTTGCCAAGGCCCTGGCTGCGCAGGAAAGTGACAACTTGCTTGCCGGATGGCACTCAAAATCCCCTGCCAAAACACCAGCTTCATCCACTACCGGAGTGGTCTTCATATAGGGATACAATACTGTCAAAATATCTTCAGTGGTCTTCTTCCAAGTTGTCTTGCTAGCGGGGATAACCATGCAATTTCTCAAAGCCGCTGTTATGTTCGCAGGACCTGATGTTCGCAGAAAAATCAATCAGAACAAAGCAAGCCTGTCATCCAGCCGCCAGCGGTTTCTAAACTGCAGCATGGCCTCTACAAACCCGGTTTTTCGCATGCATTCGCTGCGGCACCAGCTACGCGCATCCACGGCTGAGCTGACATGAAAGAAAACGCGTCCTGGTCAAGCTTGCCAGCTCCTGTGAAGCAGCCTCTCCTCGGAATCTGAAGAAGGCATTGTAGAGTCACAGAGAGGCAATTCGGAGTTGAAGTAACTGGAGCAACCAGCTAAAAAGACACGTATGGGATGCCCGCCATGCAGCCAAGCCACTCCATCTCACCAATTTTCACCATCAAGAACCCCGAGGGCTTGGATGCATTTTCGCAAACCTCTGGGCAAAGCTGGCGCGCCAAAACAAACCGAACACACCACCCCTTGCGATCCGGCCTCCCACAAGGCTTTGATGTCGGAATCAAACGTGGCTTCTCGCGTCAGCATGACATCCTCCAAAGAAAATACACACACACAACTCACAGAGGAGAGCATAAACAGCAAGGAAAAACGTCTATAAACGTCAATAGTTAGCTTTGAAACCGACACATCTGAGGTCATTCTGCAACTCACTTGTTTACAGTAGATCTGGCTTACAAATGCAAAATCCCCGAGATGGCCGCGAACACGTCCGTGGTGCCGCACATGAAGCCGACGCATGATCCGCTCTTCAATGCCAAAGGTCTTGCAGAGGGCTTCGACCTGCAACGGCAGCAACGGGAGCATCCTTGTGCAATCCCGGAGGATCCAGGGTCGAGGAGTCTTGAAATACCCCACATTGTAAGTGGCCTAAACCACAATCGGATGGCATATCATAGGCTTCCTTCTCATGCCATTGGGTCGTTGCCCGTAACCCTTATCCCCTATAATATCAAAGGGGTATCAAAGGATATCAAAGGTTTACATTAAATCCATCCTTGTGGTACTCCATCCTTTTGATAAAAATCAACGGTTTACATTAAGTGATATACCCCCCCTGCGAACCTAGGCCTAGGGTACCGCGAGATGCCCTTTCTATAGATACAAATTGGTGACCCCCAGGTGAAAGCTCCAAAAAGAATCAAGGGCATTCATCGGGGAAATTCATCCGGGTTGCCTGTCAAGATGTCATCGGAGGTGTCATCGCAAAATGGATCGGACATGTCATCGGAACTGTATTCCCAGCTTCTTCAAAGGTCAACAGATTCAACACGACGAACTGGGTAAACACGAAGCCAGGGGAACAGGCAGGGTCCCCATACCTCTTACATATACCGCCTTTGTTCCAGCCCCCGTCTACACACAGAAAAACATAAACTAACAACACCATATAGCACCTAGACTCTTCCTAAAATCAATCTCTCCATGCACCTACAGAAAACCAAGCAAAGACTCGACATCTATGAAATCACAACACCCGTCTACATACAAACATATACAACAATCTGACAAACCATTGACTCGCTATAGAATCAAGTTCTCACATCCAAACCCACCGAGAGTAGCTTTATGTTGTTTATGCTGGTTTATGCATGGAATCCACAGTAATATTGAGACCGTGTCCCGTCCAATGCAGCCAGTAGATGTAGTGCGACATGGACGTTATCTATCAACAAGCGGAGAGGATAACCACTCATAGATTATCGTCGGAGAAACAGTGTATGTTGGAAAAAGATTTCTGTAAAACAGGGGCCTATAGACATCTATTATAGACTATACACCCTCAATAAATAAATATATGTCACTGCGCTGTCGCACACACAGCAGCCTTTCCTCAAGGGGTTGCG